CAATGCGGGGTCACGATGGAGACCATCAGCTGGTCTTGCATCGCCCACGAGCTTTGATGGGAGCCACATGGGTGATTCGCTTTCTTGGCTTAGAGTATAATACACACAAACTGGTCATTGATATTTGTTCCAGCCTTGTTGCAAGTGACTGCACATTCAAAACTCATGGTGGCCAATGGTTCTCCTTCAAGAAATACCGGAATGCTGGACCTCCTTATTCCACTTGGAAAATTCTTCCTGATTCATCCATGCTGGCGTACTGGAAGTGGTTTGTGTCTCATTTCAGAACACAACTGGAAGCTTTGTACAACAGGAAGTTTCAGGGCAAAGGAAAAATCCCTGAGGCGTGGCAGAGAATTACCAAGCAGGAAGCACTGTCCAAGCTGGAGAAGTGTTAGGCCACGTCCATGGGAAGGTATAACCACAGCAGCTTTGCAGTTTAGGAAGACTTTGTACCAGGCTCTCCACAAGATGCACGTACAATGACAACTCAATCCCAGTGAAGACAATGGTGTAAGAGCAGCAGGGGGTAGGACGGTTGGGACGGACGGAGAGTAGAGATCTCTGAAACCAGGTTGTGGAACTTGCAGTTTAATGCAAAGGGTGTGAGTGCAGGGGCCCTGCTTGGAGCTGGCAGCTGCAGCTCGGAGCAGGCCCAAGAGAAGTAAAGAGAGTGGTAAAGAGAAAGAAGGCAAGAGCATGGTAAAGAGAGAATGAAAGAGTAAGAGTGGATCAGAGAGCAAGGGTTCTGTTACAAGAGAATAAATCTTCTGTGTTGAATATTGTGATTCTCACTAACCAATCTAATACAAGATACAAATCGTATAGCATTTACATACAGCCTATAAGAATCATTACATTACTCTTCTGTGTTACATTTCATATCCTAAAAACGACTATTTGGACTCTTTCTGCTAAGCTAGTAGGGTCTGCTCTGACCCTTGGACCTGTCTGCAGGCAGAGGGCATTGTTTCATCAAAAGGGCATTACCTTCAGCCGGCCATATCATTGTTTTCCATTTGTTTAGTTACTAAGGTATTACAAAACTTGCTTTCATTTCAATCTTGCTTATAGTTTCCATAGTCTCAAAATCTTTTCCCAGGCAATCATATTTATACAGCTTTCCTGTTTCATCTTCCCCAACAAATGGTATCTAACTTTTCTCAAATTTAGTGAAATTAGCAGTGTTACTGCACCCATCACTCAGCAATTCTCTCATTTCACGAGAAAGCCAGAATTCTCTTGCCTGTTTACCCTAAACATTTCCCTCAACTTTGTCCTAGAGCCAAAGCAAACCCCCCCTTTGGGGTGACTGGTCTTGTGGCCAAGGCTGAGCCCAAGGGCCAGGGATGGCGCGAAGGCAGCACTCAAAGCACTCCTTGGATCAGATGCTGTGAGACAAGAAGGGACAGTGCCCCAGAGGCAGTTTTCCTGCAGCGAGGTATGCAAGCGATGTGCGGCCACACAGTGGAGGTCTGCCGGCTAGCAATACCCTTGGCGGCCGGAGGGCACACACGGGGATATCTGCCCCCAATCTCTGCTGAGATTGCCCTGGGTGGCAGTGATTGCAGCAGCATGGGTGACACTGCAGTGGCTCAGCACAAAGATCCCGAAGTAAAGGAAACAGGGAAAGGACACTTGCCTGAGTCTCCAAAGAAATTTTATTTCCCAAAGGGGATCAGGAGCAAATGCCAAAGAAAAAAGGGGGTTTTCTCTTCTTGGTTCAGCTTTTTCGGAGGTCTGTGGCCAGGCAGAGGAGGTTCTTCAGGTTCTACTGAACAGATCTTATTGATTTCCTGATCTTTGACCAAAACAAAGCCAAACAGTTCAAGGGGAAAAAAACCAAAAACTGCTCAATTATTGCTGCTGCAGCTTCTTCAAGACTAGGGAAGGGGAAAAAAAACCTTCTTCCTTCAGGCAAAAAGAACCCAAGCCATCTAAGCAACAAAATAATGTTGTCACAGGGCATCTAATCCAAGCACACCCAGGAGTGAGGCTTTGTACGAAGCCTGCATAAAAGCCCCAAGGCTGTCGTTGGTGCCTTGGAGTGGCTACCTGGAACAGAGACTAGACAAGGTTAAGAAAATAAAAGTAGGCATTTATTAAAGTATGGGGAGGCAGCTGGGCAGTGGAGCAGGGAGTACTGTGGAGATGATGGATGGTGCAGACATCCTGGCTCTTGTGGGGGAGAAACCATGGGGAGTTCAAACAGAAATGTAAGGGGGAAAGCAAAAAGGAATGTAGTGCTTTAAGCAAGTAATGCAAGACTGCAGGTCTTGCTTGGGGTTAAGCAACGTAGCTGAAAAACACTAGGAATGTGATTATTGCTTGGCAGTGGAAAATTTTGTGTGAAACACTTAGAGTATATTTACCCACCTCTAGAAGTAACAGACAACTTCATGGCTTCACTGTATCAACAATAAAGAACTTCTTGCTAACATCTATGGGAAGTCTTGTCTCTCAATCACCAAATTAAAGTCCTTCAGTAGGAACACCATGGGCAGTCAGAAGCCTCCCAGAGGCTACACTCAAAATGGACGATGGCCACAAGTTTTTCATACAGTTACAAGTTTGGTCCATTTATGTATCAGAGGTTAATCTTCCAATTACAGCTTCAGGTATTGAAGTCCTTTACCCCCAGTTTTCTCCTCCCCAACTCACCTTCTGGGGCCTGAGACAGTGGGGTGTCCTTGATTTTAAGGTCTAGAAGAATTGTTTTGTCTAAATAAAACGGGAGAACAGTGGCTGACAGGCTACTGGAGTTTTAGAGTTATACCCTAAATCAGCACAGGATCGAAAAAATGTAAAAGCCGAATCCTGAGGTATCACTGTCCCTTCTCTGGACCCCTTTAAACCTACAGGAACCATTTGAACCATTTCTGGGCATAAAGCAGAAAATAAGGGACAAGAGTATCATCATAGAATCACCCCTACACCCTGTTCGCTTGCAAATAGCACACTGATCATAGTCATTGTTGAAAATGTCTTCAACGTGTTCTGCCTCTTCCCCAACAACTCCTCTCTCTCCTCTGGGACCCATTAGAGCAGCCGTGAGTTCCTTCTGGGGCCTGAGACAGTGGGGTGTCCTTGATTTTAAGGCCTAGAAGAATTGTTTTGTCTAAGTAAAACGGGAGAACAGTGGCTGACAGGCTACTGGAGTGTCTTATGGAGAAGTCTCCATAACCTTCACAAGAGGGACTTCTCTCCCTAAGTGAACTGAAGAAAGACTATTGTAGAGGTGGTAAATTGACTGGAAAATTTAAGTTTTGTTTCTTTACAGTATCAGTGGGAAAGAAAATGTTGTGGGGAGAGGAGAAGTGTTCGGGAAGGTTTGTTTGATTCTTATCACTTTTTTTCATTTTAGCTACTGTTAATAAAATTTTCTGTATACCCTCTTAAATTTTGGAGCCTACTTTGCCTTTCTTCTAATGCTGTCTTGAAGCAGGAAATGAGTGCACTGGTGATTAACCAGCACTGCAGCCCACCACACTCATCAATGCATTAGTTAGGAAATCTCAAAATTAGTGTTTCTGCCAGGTTTTGAACTGAAACCACTACAGGAAGTTCCTGACATGGCTACACCCATCGACGCAGGGGGAGAGAGGGGATGGGGGAGCATCAGGGAGACCCTGTGCAGAGTAGAAACACCCTCGGGCCAATTGCCCCTCTAGATGGAAAGGGGGTTTAGGGGCTTGGGAAGAGGATGAGGGAAAGGAATTTTGAACTGGTGAACTGAAACTTTTCCCAAATCACTCCTCAAATCATTCCCCATTTTTACCATTGACTTAAGAATAATGTAAAACAAAGAGTAAAACTTCCCCAAAGAAATTAGAAAGAAGACAGTCATAGTTAAAGATATAGATCTCTTAGGATTCCCCTTAGAAAAGTTAAAATTCCCTGCTACAAGGGTACCCACAACTTGGAGATAAACATCGCTTTGAGGAAGGATAAGTTAAGGACAGGTAAGTTGATTTCTCACCCTCAGGCTTCTCTCCCACGCCGATCAGTGAAAGGGGAGAAAGAAAAAGTGAAAAAGGTGACTCCAATATATATATATGAAGTTCACCATCTTTCTTCAGGTCAAACTAAACCCACTGGGTGGGTGGTCACTAGTTGACCAGCTTTTGGGTTTTTTCTGGCTTCTTTCGGGGGTCCCGTTCACCTTTCAGATAACACTCCTTAGAACGCAAGTGGTTCTCCTCAAGGAAGTGGCTGTCCCGAAACCAGCTTGTAGCACAAGGCTGGTGGAGATTCTTCTCCAGGGATGCCCTAAATGGGGCCCCTGTTCAGGCGCCACCTGTCACAGCAGATGGAAATGGTAGAGTACCACGACCTTCCCAGAAAAGCGTGTTTAAAAAGATGTCCTGGGTGCACAGGCACGTCTCTCTCATGCTGAGGGATTTCAGCCCTTGGGTGATTTCAGCCATGAGAGATGCAGAAGGAAAGGACGGAGTCTTCATATGGGGTTCAACGTAGAGTCTTTATGGAGCTCCTACTGCAAAGGGGTCCATACACAAAGAACAGGCGTTTCTATGGCAGGTCCTGATGACAGCCTTGCTGTTTCCTTAGTTTGTTTCCAAGGAGGAACTCGATCCCGAGTTATGCCCTGAATGTGCTCGGTGCCTCTCTGCGGGCACTGACACACTCACATGCGGCTTTTTCCCTATTCCTACAGCAATGGGAAGCCGTGCAGGGGCTGCCAAGGGTGCCTGGGGGCTGGTCCAGGGTGTGGCTGGGCTGGAGTTTATGTTGTCCAGGGCAGCCTCTGGCTCCTGAGAATGAACCAGCGCTGGCAGTGCTCCAGTGGGAGGGAATTTGGGAGGGGACAGGGGTGTGAAAAGTGTCTCAAGTGGACAAGCTCCTGCAGTGACCCTGAGCCCACAGTTCCCTTCCTGAGCAGCTCTCCTGCACTGAGGCTCTGCTGTCCAGGGTGCAGCTGGACATGGGATTTGGATTCGTTGATCAGTGGGTGCTTGGATGACAAATGGGATGAAGAGAGGATGCAGAACATACTCAGAGTCCCTGAAGACACTTTTGCAACACCTGAGGTTTCCAGTCAGTCCCAGTCCAAGTCAGAAAGCAGCGAATCCAAAGAAAACGAAGTCATTGCCAACCAGGAGTTCGTCCAGTTGCTCAAGCGCCTTGGACTGGAAAGTCACTATCCAAGGAAAATGGGGATGGGAGATTTCCGCACCATCTGTAAGATATCCCTGCAGGATAGCCAGCCCAGCCAGGACACAGAACTGCCATTTTACTTCTTGCAAAAGCTGTTAACTGTGGATTACCGGGTGAGGTACCTGACTTGCTGGGAAGACAGCAACCCAAAACTTGCAGCCCTGCCAAAAACCACCACAAAAAAGCACCAATACTCAGACACCTTTGAACAATTTTTTGATGATTTAGAGGAAGCGACCCCTGAACGTGCAAGCAGGGACGGCCGTGTGCACTACATGGACCTGCAGATGGCCATCTTCCATTGTGCTGATGACTTCCTGAGACAGACCCTTGCAACCAAGCTGGCCTTCTGCCAACTGGCAGTGCCTCTGCTGCTGCCCAACCCGAGCACTTCACGCATCGAGTTCCTGCTCTACGCCCTCAGCCAAATCCAAAGGAGCTGGAAAGAAGTGGAGAAGTCAGGAAAGCAGGCCCCAACAAAGAGTTACAGCAACAAACTCATCTTTCAGGCACAGACACCCATTGTGTCCTTCATCCGCATTGGCAGCTCCGCCTCCTCTTCCAAGTCCCGGCTCCTGAACCCTCTGCTGAGCAAACGCAAACACGACACTTTCTTCCACCGCAACTGCAGAGGCAGCACCAGAGAGCGTTTGCTGATGGAAGGGATGGTGGAGATTGCCTGGTACTGCCCCGGTGGAAGCCCTGATGACACCTTTGAGCGCTGCGTGGCTTTCTGTAACCTGCATGGTGATGCCAGGGATCACGGAGCACAGCTGCAGTTCCTGCAGGAGATATCTGCTGTGAATGTGGCTCTTGCAAGTTGTGGTCTGAAATTCTGTCACGAAAGAAAAGCAAGAAAAAACCCAGTGTGAGTGCTGATTTGCCAAGTGGCTTGGATGCCCTCTCTAATGAAATCAACGATTCATCCATTGGCCTGGAGCACATTCTGAGAGAGGTAGGGCAGATTTATGAAGCTCTGCAATTTTGAAACCCAAGGATGAAAATTTTTTCAAATTGCCAGAAATTGCAGCAGAGCTGATGGTTTCCGGGTATCCCATGGAGCTGTTGGATGGGGACGCTTCTTACCTGCCCTTGTGCTGGGTGGGAGCAATCTTTGACAGCTTAATTGAGAGGCTGGGGGACAAACGAGTGTTTGTGCTCTCCGTGCTCGGCATCCAGAGCACAGGCAAGTCCACCCTGCTGAATGCCATGTTTGGCCTGCAGTTCAACGTCAGCGCAGGGAGATGCACCCGCGGAGCCTTCATGCAGCTCATCCCGGTGGGCGAGGAGCTGCAGCAAGACTTGGGCTTTGATTTTGTGCTGGTGGTTGACACAGAGGGACTCCGTGCCATTGAGATGGCCAATAAACAGTCCCTGAACCATGACAAAGAACTGGCCACCTTTGTCATTGGTGTTGGCAACGTCACTGTGATCAATAGGTCAACAAAATTCAGAATGGTGACTTGCAGAAAGTCACCACAGCACACCTTGAAGGGCTGGTGAGAGAGACAAGTGATGCCATTGAGAAAGAAGTGGAAAAGTATTTTACGGAAGAGAATGACCGTGGGATACTGGTCCAGTGGAAATCAAGCTCAGCGTTGAAGCTGAAAGAACTGAAAGAGGCTCTGCTTGATGAAACACAAAAGAAATGTGAGAATTTTATTGAGCTACAGAAGGAGCAGAGGAAACTGGATACAAGGAAGTTGCAATATGAAGATGAGCTCCTGAGAAGGAGTCGGGAGCTGGCTGTGAGTCTGAAGGGGAAGAGCCTCAGTGAGAGAGAACTGGAGGACAACTTTACTCTTGTCTGGAACCAGTGGATTGCCGAAGTCTCCCGTGATGCTCGTCCTCAGGAACGGGTGGATATCGATGCAGAAATTGAAGATATTCTTGTAGAGCATTTTAAGGAGCCGGGTATCCATGCTCGGATCAGGTCATATCCCAAAGGCAGAGGATTTTCTATTGATCCAGAGAAACACATCATGAAGAAAAAGCATTATGTCCTTTTCCAAGGTTTCAGGAGTATTTCCAATACTGATGCGATCAACTTTCAGCACATCACAGACAACATCATAGCGTGTGTGAAGACAAACATTGCTAAGAAGGAAGAGGAGAAACGGGATTACAGTCGAAATTTTATTCATGAAGTGCTCAATGAAGTACAGAAAGGTGTGGACTCTGTCCCCAGCAATGCAGAATGTACTTTTAACAGAGAGTACAGCATTGATTTGTCTCTGTATCTGTGCAGAATGGCAGCAGGAAGATTTAAAGCCATGCATGAAGCATTCCAAAAGGCAAATGACCCAGTTGTGTACCTGAGCAGCAAGAGAGAAGATTTCTTCCAATGTTTCCAGATTTCCTGCCAAGGAGCCACTTCTGTCACAACTTTTGTTGTTTTCCTTTGTCATAAGATTGAACCAGCTCTTTGCAGTGCAGTCTATGAGAGAACGGCTAAAGACATCGCTGAGGACATGCAGGGCAAATTCCCAGATTTCAGGGGCAGCAGAGCCAATCTGGAACTTTGCATCCTGAAATACCTGGCAGAAGAGGAAAACTTTGAGTATTTCAAGCAGTACCTTACATCTCCAAAACAGTTTTGTGAGACTTATATTGAGACATGTGTTAGGAATTACTGTTTAGATGGGAATAGGAGGCTGGGGATGTTTTTAGATTCTTCCCTTGATATTCTCTGTCAAAAAATCCTGTCTGCTGTTTCAAAATCAACCCAAATTGTCAAAGACAGAAAATACAGGGAAGACAAAGTCTCTCTTTGGCTGGATGAATTTTGCAGGGAACTGTCAGAGGTGATCAACTTGCCCAGAAGTGACCTGAAGGGCATTGAGCACCAGGAGGTCACAGACATTGAGTTCCTGAGCAGGGCCATGACAGAAGCTCTGGCTGCCCTAAAAGACACGCTTGTTAATGAATTGGCTGATGCTGACCTGAGCTGGTTTCCAAGGCAGCCTCACACCATCCTGGCAGAGCATTTTTCGAGGTGCTGGGCACAGTGTCCCTTTTGTGGGGCTGTCTGCACAAACACCATGTGGAATCATGATGGAGACCATCAGCTGGTCTTCCATCGCCCACAAGCTTTGTTGGGATGCACATGGTGGGAATGTTCATCTGGCATGGAGAATGATACACATGAAATGAACATTGATATTTGTTCCAGCCTTGTTGCAAGTGACTACACATTCAGAGTTGGTGGTGGCCGATGGATCCCATACAAGAGATACCGGGATGCTGGACCCCCGTATTCCACTTGGAACATTCTTCCTGATACCTCCATGCAGGCGTACTGGAAATGGTTTGTGTCTCATTTCAGGACACAACTGGAAGATCTGTACAATGGGAAATTTCAGGGCAAAGGAGAAATCCCTGAGGCCTGGCAGAGAATTTCCAAGCAGGAAGCACTGACTGAGCTGGACAAGTGCAGCCCATGTCCTCAGAAAGGAAGAACTACAAGGTTTTCACAAATTAAAACAGCTTTGGCCGAGGCTCTCCCGAAAATAAACTTACAATATGATGCTCTCATGCCACGTGGAAATTATAGTTTCCAATTCTTCACAAATTTCAGGAAATAAGGCACACCACTGCAGCCTTTTCTCATTAACTCAGTCCTTTGTGATTAAGCCAGAATCCTCTTGCCTGTTTGTCATAAACATTTCCCTCAGCTTCTATCTAGAGCCAAACCAAATTCCCTCCTTGGGGCGATCAGCCTCATGGCCAAGCCGCAGCCCAAGGTCCAGGGATGGGGCAAAGACAGCATTTAAAGCACTCCTTGGATCAGCTGCTGCGAGACAAGAAGGGACAGTGCCCCAAAGGCAGTTTTCCTGCAGCAAGGAGCTGTCCTGCTTGGAGAAAGGGCTGCAGGGCATGAAGCCAAATTTCAGGAAATAAGGCACACTACTCCAGCCTTTTCTCATTAACTCATTCCTTTGTGATTAAGCCAGAATCCTCTTGCCTGTTTGCCATAAACATTTCCCTCATCTTTTACCTAGAGCCAAACCGAATTCCCTCCTTGGGGCGATCAGCCTCATAGCCAAGCCGCAGCCCAAGGGCCAGGGATGGGGCAAAGACAGCATTCAAAGCACTCCTTGGATCAGCTGTTACAGGCAGAGCAGGTCCTTCAGGTTCTACTGAATAGATCCTGTTGATTTCCTGATCTTTGACCAAAACAAAGCCAAACAGTTCAAGGGGAAAAAAAAAAAAAAAAAAAAAAAAAAAAAAAAACGCTCCAAAGGTTGTCTCTCCCCCTTTTTTAAGTGTCCTCTCTGCTGAGCAAAAGCCTTTGGAAAGCCCCATGTGGAGAATGCTGTCTGCCAGCACCCTTCCACAGCAGCTCTCAGATTCAGGGTCCTTTCTCTTCTTGGTTCAGCTTTTTCGGAGGTCTGTGGCCAGGCAGAGGAGGTTCTTCAGGTTCTACTGAACAGATCTTATTGATTTCCTGATCTTTGACCAAAACAAAGCCAAACAGTTCAAGGGGAAAAAAAAAAAAAAAAAAAAAAAAAAAAAAAAAAAAAAGCAAGCTGCTCAAGGATTGCTGCTGCAGCTTCTTCAAGGCCAGGGAAAGGGAAAAAAACTTCTTGCTTCAGCCAAAAAAACCCAAGCCACCTAAGCAACAAAATAATGCTGTCACAGGGCATCCAATCCAAGCACACCCAGGAGTGAGGCTATGAACCAAGCCTGCACTAAAGCCCCAAGACTGTGATTGGTGCCTTGGAGTGGCTACCTGGAACAGAGACTAGACAAGGTTAAGAAAATAAAAGTAGGCATTTATTAAAGTATGGGGAGGCAGCTGGGCAGTGGAGCAGGGAGTACTGTGGAGATGATGGATGGTGCAGACATCCTGGCTCTTGTGGGGGAGAAACCATGGGGAGTTCAAACAGAAATGTAAGGGGGAAAGCAAAAAGGAATGTAGAGCTTTAAGTAAGTCACGTTAGGCTGCAGGTGCTTGGGCTTAGCAATGTAGCTAAGAAACACTAGGAATGTGATTATTGCTTGGCAGTGGAAATTTTTATCTAAACCTATTAGAGTATATATACCCAGCTCTAGAGATAACAGACGGCTTCATAGCTTCACTGTATCAACAATAAAGAACTTCTTGCTAACATCTATGGGAATTCTTGTCTCTCAATCACCAAATTAAAGTCCTTCAGTAGGAACACCATGGGCAGACAGAAGCCTCCCAGAGGCTACACTCAAAATGGACGATGGTCACAAGTTTTTCATACAGTTATAAGTTTGGTCCATTTATGTGTCAGAGGTTAATCTTCCAATTACAGCTTCAGGTATTGAAGTCCTTTACCCCCAGTTTTCTCCTCCCCAACTCACTTTCTGGGGCTTGAGACAGTGGGGTGTCCTTGATTTTAAAGCCTAGAAGAATTGTTTTGTCTAAATAAAACGGGAGAACAGTGGCTGACAGGCTACTGGAATTTTAGAGTTATACCCTAAATCAGTACAGGATCAAAAAAATGTAAAAGCCGAATCCTGAGGTATCACTGTCCCTTCTCTGGACCCTTTTAAACCTACAGGAACCATTTCTGGGCAGAGAGCAGAAAATAAGGGACAAGAGTATCATCATAGAATCACCCCTACACCCTATTCCCTTGCAAATAGCACACAATGATCATAGTCATCATTGAAAATGTCTTCAACGTGTTCTGCCTCTTCCCCAACAACTCCTCTCTCTCCTCTGGGACCCATTAGAGCAGCCATGAGTTCTCCATCTTGGTCTCCCTAAGCCAACCCTGTGTTATTACATAATTTCCATGCAGTTTCTAACCATTTATTTACATTTCTGGAGTCCTCTGCCCCCAATCTCTGTAACTTCCTCGTAATGTCTGGAGCCAATTGTCCCATAATTGTGGCTGCCATGTGTAACAAAATCTCCTTCTCTGTCAGGGTCCCTGTTAGCAAATTTCCCATCTGCATCCATGAATCGTTGATGGAAATTGGAAAGAGACTCATTCTTTCTTTGGATTACATTATACAATTCTGACTTAATTATAACCTCTTTCTAGCCGACATCCTTTAGGTTAGGGTGAAAGGTAAAAAGGATTTTAGCAGACGCTGGATTAACTTCCTCTCATTTAGACATCATTTGGATGTCTTAATTCCATGGTGGCTCACTGTTTTAAGGGTTTTTCTTGCAAAATTTGCTGAGGTGCTTCCTCATCTGCATACCAGCTCTGATGTCACCTCCCCCCCTCCTCAGTCTCAGGTGTCATCCTTCAGGAAGCAGCAGGGGGACACCCGAGCTGATTTCCGACCATCAACAGGTAATGAAAGAAGAACTATTAACAACAGGAGATTACAACATGCAGTTATTAACAACAAATAGTTAAAACTCCAACTTAGCAGCAACTGGTTTAACTTGTTAACTGGAACTTAAAAAACAATACTCCATAAGTTGGCATGGCCCATTGACAAACTGTGGTAAGGCTTGTGGAAATGGGAAGGACTTCACGATGACAGGGTTCCTCAGGCGGCTGTTATTTGTGACGAAATTGAGAACCACGAGAGAATTGTTTTTTCCTCTTATGGAGAAGTCTCCATAACCTTAACAAGAGGGACTTCTCTTCCTAAGTGAACTGAAGAAAGACTATTGTAGAGGTGGTAAATTGACTGGAAAATTTAAGTTTTGTTTCTTTACAGTATCAGTGGGAAAGAAAAGGTTGTGGGGGGAGGAGAAGTGTTCTGGAGGGTTTGTTTGATTCTTATTACTTTTTTTTCATTTTAGCTACTGTTAATAGAATTTTCTTTATACCCTTTTAGAGTTTGGAGCCTACTTTGCCTTTCTTCTAATGCTGTCTTGCAGCAGGAAATGAGTGCACTGGTGATTAACCAGCACTGCAGCCCACCACACTCATCAATGCATTAGTTAGGAAATCTCAAAATTAGTGTTTCTGCCAGGTTTTGAACTGAAACCACTACAGGAAGTTCCTGACATGGCTACACCCATCGACGCAGGGGGAAGGAAGGAGCCAAGTGCGATGGAGGGCAGAGGAAAAGGCGGAGGAGAGGTGGGAAAGTGGCCATTTTGATACACGGGGATGGGAAAACTTGGAAGAGAAGGAAACTATAGGAATGACCCAACTATCCTTTGTCCCCTTAAAAAGGAAATAAGCCCAGAAATTTCTCTCCTCAGTGAGGTGAAAAGGCATCTCATAGGACCTGGGGCACTTCACCTCAAACTTAAGGATAGCTAATTGGACAGGAGCCAAAAAGTCCCGCCTGAGCAATTAACTAGAAAAAGAAGAGTAGAAAGAAACTAATCGCTTTGGTGAGGTGTTTTACCAGGGGCAAGGACTCTTGCACCTGGCTCAGTTTTTCTCTGTAAAGAGTTTTTTATTTTGCTTTTTATTAAGACCTTTTTGTTTGCAACACTACCAGGGAAGCCATCCTGCTGATTTGATGCCTTCTAAGGTAGCTGAGCTATCTTGGGTGTGAAATATGTCTCCAAGAGCTTATGAGACCTGGCTTGAGGAGACTCATGTTTCAGGAGACAAGATGGTGAGGCCAGTGTCATCCTGGCAGGGGGAGAGAGGGCATGGGGGAGCATCAGGGAGACCCTGTGCAGAGGAGAAACACCCTCGGGCCAATTGTCCCTCTAGATGGAAAGGGAGTTTTGGAGCTTGGAAAAAGGATGGAGGGAAAGGAGTTTTGAACTGGCGACCTGAAACATTTCCCAAATCACTCCTCGAATCATTCTCCATTTTTACCATTGACTTAACAATAAGGTGAAACCAAGAGTAAAACTTCCCCAAACCAATTAGAAAGAAGACAGTGATTGTTAAGGATATAAACCTCTTAGGATTACCCTTAGAAAACTTAAATTTCCCTGCTACAAGGCTACCCACAACTTGGCGATAAACGTAACTTCGAGGAAGGCTAAGTTTAGGATGGGAAAGTTGGTTCCCCACCCTCAGGCTTCTCTCCCACACCCAGCAGTGAAAGGGGAGAAAGAAAAAGTAAAAAAGGTGACTCCAATATATATATATGAAGTTCACCATCTTTCTTCATGTCAAACTAAACCGGGTCCCGTTTGCCTTTCAGATAACACTCCTTAGAACGCAAGTGGTTCTCCTCAAGGAAGTGGCTATCCTGAAACCAGCTTGTAGCACAAGGCTGGTGGAGATTCTTCTCCAGGGATGCCCTAAATGGGGCCCCTGTTCGGGCGCCACCTGTCACAGCAGGTGGAAATGGTAGAGTACCACGACCTTCCCAGAAAAGCATGTTTAAAAAGATGCCCTGGGTGCACAGGCACGTCTCGCTCTTGCTGAGTGATTTCAGCCCTTGGGTGATTTCAGCCATGAGAGATGCAGAAGGAAAGGATGGAGTCTTCATATGGGGTTCCATGGAGGGTCTTTATGGAGCTCCTACTGCAAAGGGGTCCAGACACTAAGAACTCTCCAGGCAGAGAGAGCAGGGATTTATATAGGGATAGAAATGGGGGGGTGGAGGGGGAGCACGCAGAACATCAGAATGAATGAGATGAGGGCACAGGGGTAGAACAAAGGGGAAGGGCCAGTGGGATAAATAGAATCAACATACGGCAACAATGAAGTCCAGAGGAAGCTTTTTGTCCTCGTCATGACTAGGGAGGTTGTTGCTTAAAGGTTGTCCCTCCAGGGGTGTGTGGTAAGCTTCTCCTCAGCCAGTTTACTGGACCCCTCATTTTCCCCTCCTCTGTTCAACTACAGCAGAAGAGCATGAGTGAAGAGTTTTCTTCGTAGGTACCTGGTTTTTGGCCGGTGTCAAACCATGGCAGGGCGTTTGAAGAAAGCCAGGGTTTTGGGGGGAGGCTCCAGTGAAACATGTGGGTTTTGGGGTATGGAGAGCTCTGCGGTGAGACCCCAGGTTGGGGGTGGTATCAAAGAAACACAGGGTTTAGGAGGCTGGCTGCAGTGAGACCCGAGGTTTGTGGGCTGGGGGGACTGCAGAGAGAACCAGGATTTTGTGGCAGAAGGCTTGCATTGAGACCTGGGATTGGGAGGGCTGTGGGTGCAGCAAGGACCAGTGTGCTAAAGGTGGGACCATGTGAGACATGGAACACCCTCCCTTCTTAAGGGGTAAGGATGTGACTGGGAGCTTCTCCTCCTGGGTTGGAGTACAGGGAGGCAATGGTGACCTGTTGATGCATACACCAGCTCTTGGGCTGTTCCCCCATGAAGGGACTGCAGAGGGGGCTGTGGGTTTCCTGGGAGCAGGGCCAGCCCAGGAACTGCCCCCATGGAAATCAGGACCATCATGCTCCTGCCCCATGGCTGCTCTATACAGTCATACCAATGGAACCCACGTCCTTCCCATCTCCTAGTGCAAAACCAGGTCTTAGTCTTGGCTGTTTTAGCTTTTGGGAAGTGGCTGATCCAGCACAAATCTCAGTACTGGGTCACGTATTACAGCCTTGACCTAGGCATTGAGGCTTGGCGTGCTCTGCCCTCTGCAGCTTCCAAAGCTGGGTTACCTTGTCAGGGTCACCAATGGGGTTGGGAGGGACCTTAAAGCCTATCCACTGCCCTCCCCTGCCATGGGCAATGAAACCTTCCACTATCCGAGGCTGTTCCAAGCCCAGTCCAGTCTGGTCTGGAACACTTCCAGGGATCCAGGGGCAGCCACAGCTCCTCTGGGCACCCTGTGCCAGTCCCTGGCTGTGCCTCAGCCTTTGAGCTGTGCCTGGCAGCAGCTCTCTGGCCACAAACCATTGATTTGGAAAAGAACCAGTGGATTTGGAGGGATGTGACGGAGGCAACATGTCCCCAACAGGGAAGGAGGCTGTCCTTGGAGAGGAGCTGGTGTCCCTGGAGCTGACAGAGCAGGAGCAGAGGAGCTTCATGCAGGATGATCCCCAGCCTTCTGCAGCCCTGGCTGGGTCACTGCTGCCATGGAGTCAGGAGTGCAGATGGTTTCAGTTTGCAGAGTGCACGTTCCTGCTGGCTGGGGGCGAGGCAGGAGTGTGCTCCTGCTGTCCCAGGCTGGCAGGGGCAGAGAGGGAACGGTTCTCTGGCTGCTCCTGAAGGGACACTGAGGAGCTCCTGAGCCCAAGGGAGCCATGCAGCACAAGGTGCAGCTCTGGCAGAGAGGGTGTCATAGTTTGATGGTGCTGGACAAGATTTCCTGGGGGTGCTGGTGCCAGTAGCTGGCCACGAGCCCAGGTGTGCCAGTGGCCAATGTCTGCTGGGCTGTACCAGCTCTGGGGTGGTAGCAGGGCTAGGGCAGTGCCTCTCCCCATATCTGGCACTGCTGGGACACCTCCAGTGCTGGGGGCAGGTCTGTGACCCCTTGATAGGAGAGACATGGAGAAAAGGAGGCTCAGGGGAGACCTTGTAGCTCTGCACAACTCCCTGCCAGGAGGGGACAGCCAGGGGGGGTCAGGCTCTGCTTCCCCTGGCTCTGCCCCCTCCACACCTTGGCTGCTGCCCTGAGAGCACAGATATTCCCTGGACAGCCTCTCACCCATCAGCAGCCCCGAGTCCTTCTCCTCAGGGCTGCTCTCAATCCATTCTCTTCCCAGCTTGTGTCTGTGCCTGGAATTGCCCCAACCCAGGGACAGCACCTGCACTTGGCCTTGCTGACCTTCATGGGCTTTGCTCTGTCCCACCCCTCCAGCATGTCTCATCCCTTTTTTCTGGTGGGGGAACAGGGATGTAGGTCCCAGGTGAAACCCTGCTCTGCTCACCTCCCCAGAAGAGCCCTGAGGTGTCTTTGCTGCCTGGGCAGTCCCCAGTGGAGGAGAAGGGCTGACCTCCAGTGCTCCCTGGAATGAATCTGCCATGCTCATGGGCTCCTATTCTCCTGACTGTCTGCTCTTGTCCTTTAGGACTTTGGGCCTTTCCTTCCTGGTGCTCTTCCTCCTGAGTCCTTGAGGGGTTCCCATCTTTCTCTCCACACTCACCGTGTACCCCAGGCCTGTCCCTGCTGCTGTGCTGGGTCCCCTGAGCTGGGGCACTCGGCTGCTGGTGTCTGCTGGGAAGCCAAGGCTGGGAGCAACAGGAGCATCTGCTGTGAGGTGAGTGAGGGGAATCAGAGCCCACTGCCCTTGCACACATTGCCCAAATCTGCACAGGCTCCTGAGGGAAATTGACGCAATCACTGGAGTCTCTAGTTCGCTCTTTTAGAACACCCGCAGCCACACTACAGGTGTACGGAACAACTCCAGGATAAATTCTCCAGGAGCTGAACTTCAGAGCTGTGGCTCGACAGTAGAATTAGCTTTAGCAGCGTCAGGGAGAAAAGTAAAAGAGTCAACGATGAGCTCCGCTTGACTTTCCAGAAAGTCTTTAATCCAGAGATGCAAAAGAGAAAGAGCAAACTCTGCATCGGTTTATATAAAGGCCAAAATGGCCTTTGTACCTGGTGGGCAGGTACAAACACCCAGACAATGGGATAACCTTTAGGGAGGAGTGAGGGGTGTGGTTTACAGATCCAGTTCCAATGAGAGTAAAGGGAGGAGAAAGGCGAATGGTTTACATCAGGGGTGGATACACCTTAGGGAGATACCAACACAGGGAGGGCTTCGGAAACAACAATTATCAGAGAATCCAGAATATGAAACTGAAAACTGGGGTCACACAAACACTAACTGCAGCAGGAAAGCTGCCCCTGAAGTCTCTGCAAGGGTGCAGGAGCCCTAGTCCAAGCCACTTGGATCAATACCTGTTCTGGTAAGAGTGCTGTGGCCTTGATGGGACAGTGACATGTGGTGTCCATGCATCTGAGATGTAACACATGACAGACCTCCATTGTTCATCAGTCAAACAGCCTGTTTTATTGTTCAGGGCTTGCTTTTATAAGAAGTTCAAAACTCCCCGCTTGAAACAGCCATTGGTCTAATCTCCATGCCCCCTAGAGTCTGAACCAGTCAAATGCTGGTGCTTGAGGAGACTTGTTATTAGTTGGAACCTCTGTCAGTCAGCCCAGAGGCTGGTTTATGGAACTGGGCTGGGTTTCTAATTTAGAACTGGATTAAAATGCAGTAAAAATCAGCTTGTACTGGCAACAGGACAGAAACTGAATGCTCAGAAGGAGTTTTTGCAAGTGTTATAGGTAAAAATCGACGGAGCCAAATTAATAATTAATAAAGATAAATTTTATTTCACGGCCGAGATATGGTCTCCAATAGCCACAATCAAAAGGGACAGCGTCGAGCCCGGATTCAGAGCTGGGTGAACACTGGTCTGACCTCTATCGCGTCAGAACTCCACTCTGTTCACGAAAGTGTGTGTGTCTGGGCAGTTTTTATACACTTTAATTAGCCCGAGGCTGAGTGTCTCTTGTTCTTTTCATGGTTAAACATATTCATGTTGTCTCCTTTCTCTGTGTTGTGCTGGACAATGTAGTTCCCGGCAAATGATGAGTGCTGATGTTGGGATGGAAGTTCCCCAATGCTGCCATCTTATTGCAAAGGTTTCGCACCTTCTTGGGTGATTTCTCATGGGCAGTTCCTCACAGCACTGACTCTTTCTTCTCAGCACAGCCAACAAACTCCATCTATCCACAATTCTCTCTTTTCTTTCAATTACAAAGTTGCAGTATCTCTAGAAAGATATGTTCATGTAAATTGACATAATATAGTCACATATATTACTTAGGACTAAAGTTATATGAATGTTCAGGCAACATATTACAGTAGGAACATATGTTTCTAAGTCCAGATTTAGTTTTGCTCTTCACAATCTAGAACATCAACCTAAGGCTTATCACCAAAAACCCTTGTGCTTAGACTTCTATATCACAGTATATGTTTCTAAGTTCTAATTAAGTTTTGCTTTTTCACAGTATAGACTTGATTCATTCTCTAAATTCACAGAGTACTTATCATCAAAATCTTTAGATCCATGCCTAATTGCCTAATCAAAGGTTAACTCACAAGAATGAGTTAAACTAATGTTGTGTTTAGTATCTTTTGCAGGACCCTTTGCAGAAGATAGTAAACCCAGTACAATCATCTTTTGTGTAATTTTTATTTAACTTTGGAATGCATGTGTGACGACCTTGATTCATTACTCAAACTTACATTACATATGATCAGAAACCCTTATACTTGCAGAATATTGACCCAAACTTACATTACATATCATCAAAACAAACCCTTACACTTCTGAAATATTTACCCAAACCTATATTACATATCGTTACCCAAACTTACATTACATATAATCAGAAACCCTTGTACTTCTAGAATATTTACCCAAACTTACCTTAC